ATTGCTCCTCAATGGATGACTTGTTATCTATATGAATGTGTATATACATCTCTCTCTCTATATATAGATATATAGATATATAGATATATATATACACACACATAGAAAATATGTATATGTACTTTTTGGTTTTGTTTTGTTTTTTATGTGATGCTGGGGTCAAACCCAGGGTTATACACATGCTAGGCAAGCACTTTATCACTGAGTTATACCCCTACCCCTTATTTATTTATATTTTTTATTTCAAAAATAAAATTGGCTATCAAAAAAAATTTAACTTTGTTCAGAAATTTCTTTTCTACACACACTTACAATTTGGAAAAACTCTGTGGCCTCAGTGACATTATATATACGTTGCACAGGCTGCTTTTGTTCACACATCATAGCAGATATCTTTTCATACCAGTGGTCATAGCTCTTAGTCTTTCAGATGGCTGATTAAGTCTATCATGTGAGTGTCCCATAAGCTATGTGAGCACTTTTTTTTGTTAGCAGATTAGATTTTGTTTATACATTTCCTTATATTCAGTGTACTGTGTTTCCCAACAAAAATGCAAAAATTTCCAACAGATTAATGATCTGTATATTTTGCAAATAATGTGATATTTTATGAAACTGTAAAAATCTTATTTATTTCTCTGAAAAATTTTCATTTGTGATTGAAGCTGCTTTTTTCTATTATGGTTTCATATTCCCTTTAGTGATATATGTTTATTATATTTGGAAGTAATTCTTGTACTATTTTAGTATTTCTGTTTTTAAACATTTATTTTTAAAATTTTGTGACAGGGTTTCACTGTACAGTTCAGGCCTGCCTGACGCTCATGATCCTTCTGCCTCAGCCTTCTGAAGTCTGGAATTGTAGGATGTGCCACCAAGCTGGCATAGTACTGCTTTCTAATAAATAAACAGAAGAAATGGAGAGTGTTACCGCCTTAAGGATTTTACTTAAAAAAGCATAGGGTAGAGTAAAATTGGAGGCATATTACATATTACTATGCCATCTAAATAGAGGAGGTGGTTCAGAGAACACTTTTGGTGGAATTGACTCAGAAAGATGGGTAGGAATGAGTCTGAGGTGGGGAGGACAAACAATACCACGAATCAGCATGTGCAAAGGGTCTAAAAATATGCTCAGTATGGCTAGAGTGTGGGGATGAAGAGATGGGGCTAGCAGGGGTCTTCCAAGCCTTGGCTAGCTTTGTTAAGAAGTTTGGGTTTTATTGTAAAGTACAAACTGAGCCAGTTAGGGTTAAGCAAGGGATAGCATCATGCCCTTCCCAGGCTGCATTATGTGAAGAACAGGTTGGAGGCTTGCAAGGCTTGGGGAAAGGGTGACTGAGTAAACCTGGAGAAAGACTGAGCACGGGTGTGGTCATAGGCATTTAAGAAAAAAAGTGCAGGGAAAAAAAAGAGATGGTAATCCGTTATTTAGGCTGAGGAAAGGTAGAGACAGGGAGAAGGGTGGAGGTGTGAGAGAGGAAGGAATCACAGATGTCTTGGTAACTTGGTAAATGTTTGGTACTGCTCCCTGAGATCGTGAACACAGGACACCTTTGTGAAGATTTAAATGAAAGAACAAATGAATGGATGATCTATATACAGAGGGAGAAACACTTGATGGTGATGGTGGTGATGATGTGAGTGCAAACACAGCACTCACAGTGGATTTTACTTACCAGCTTTGTTTGCGTCTTTGCGTGTGCATGTGTGCATGTGTTTTCTTTTTAGCATACTATATACAGCTGGTATGTTTTCCTTGACGTTTCAAAATGTTGAGCTTGTCACATCTTCTAATCATGCTTTGCACACACATAATCTTCTCTAGACCAAGTGTACTGCCCCTTGAGCAAGTCTTGCAGTTAAGTTGTGTGTTATTTCTCATGACTGCTGTGGTTCATTACCACAGACTTAGTGATTTATTTAGTGTTGTTGTTTTTGAGACATGGCTGTACTGTGTGGCCCAGGCTGGCCTCAAACTCTTGATCCTCCTGCCTCAGCTTCCAAAATTTAGTGACTTTTAAACAACACAGATGTACTATCTTACAGTATGGGGGTCAGTATCAAAAAAAGGTACTGGCAAGGCTCTGTTCCTTCTGGAGCTTCAGGAGAGAACCCCCTTTCTTTTTTTTTGCCTTTCCCAGCTTCTAGAGAGCCCCTTGCATTTCTTGATTCCTTCCTCCATCTTCACAGCCAAGCAGTGTGGTATCTCAGATCAATCTCTGTGTCTCTGAGTTTCTCTCATCATGACATCTCTCTCTCTCTCTTTCTGCCCTCACTTTGCCTCCAGTGACTGGCCTTTCTGCAACACTCTTATAAGGACTTTTATGATTACTTGGGTTCACCTGGATAGTCTCCTATCTTTCAAGATCCTTAATTTAATCCTCCTGCAAAGTCCTTTTTGCCTTGTAAGGGCATGTATTCACAGGTTCTGAGCATAAAGGTGTGGACATCTTTGGGGGCCTTTATCCTGTGTGGTAAAGTTTAAAATGTAATAAAAATGGATGTGTCCATGGGGCAGTCATATGAATTCCTGAGTTGCACATTGGTTGGAATTCTTGCTCCCTGGCACAGATATTCTGTCTTGTTCTCTTGGAACCTCTGTCCGCATATCAGCTTTATTTATTTATTTATTTTTAGTCCTTTGGTATATTAGGCAACTCAATTTGCTGGTACTTTAACCAGTAATCACTGACATATTTTACTTTGTATATATTGAGTAAAAGATAAAATCATGTATCAATTTAGGTCACACAATGAATAATAAATAATATCATAAAAGGTTCTCCATCAGACATATGTCTACTACATAGCTGCTTCCTAAATTTTGCTGAAACATTTGGAGATGGGATGGCCATTTTTCCTAGGGATTTTAACATTTCTGTCACCAAATCTGTTTCTTAAACTTCAGGCTTGAGTTCTTTTAGCTATATTATTTCTACCAGTAATCAAGGAACTTGGCAAAGAATTGTACCAGAATGACTCAAAATAGTACAAAATGCCATACAGACAAATGATTAGGAGAAATGGTGTGTAAATTCATGAACTAAAAATAAAATCAGAATTAATTCAGGCCAATCAGGGCAGGTTGCTAAGAAGAGGTGAGTCAAAAAAGTTACAAAGTTAGGTTTGCTGAGATGGTGAGGCATCTATTGCTTTGACTATTGCTTCACTCTGTCCTTTGCTGAATTGTCTCATGTCAATATTGGGTTTTCACAGATCTCATTCTTAGATCCTTTTCTCTTCTCCATTTTCATCAAGTAGTTCCATTGTTTCCAATGGCTTTACCTCCCAAATGTTGGCTGACAATTTCTATCTCTTCCTGTACTTTCTTCTTAACTAGTATTTCCAACTCCTACCTGGCATTTCTACTTGAATGCCTTTAAAGGGTTCTCACATTAAACGTGACTAAAACACATCACATGTTGACCTGTTTGCTGTGTCCCCTGCTTCATCTGCTCAGATTCCTGTCATCCTTACTCACCTCAGTGAATGCCACCGCTATCTCTTTGCTCATCTCGTAAACCAGAACCTAGGAGTCATCATTGCCTGTTCACTCTGCCCTTTACCTCCCTCTCCTTCATGCCTTATTTCTGAAAATTACCAAGTCCTTTTGACTGCATCCAAAATGCAGTGTATATCAAATCCATCTACTTCTTTCCAGTGGAGATACTCAGATTCTAGTTCAGTCACCATCATTTGTCACTGACCCTCAATGGGTTCCTAGCTCTTCTACCTCCAGGCTGCCCTCCAGCTCATTTCCTATAGGCCGCGTTGCTTTGCTCTCACTGTTTCTATCCCTGCCTGTTTCTCCTTTCATCCTTTCTCTTAATTCTTTTCTGTTCACCTCCCTTTTTGTCCCCGCTCCCTGTTCTCTGTTCAACTCATTACTATTTCACATCCATATTTCTCTGTCCTCAGAGTGTTCTTTTAAAACTATGAATGAGATCACATCGCCACTCCTCCTCTAAAACTCTTTAGTGGTTTCCAACTGCACTTAGAATGAAATTAAATTTCTTCAACATGGTCTTCTCTGTGGAGCCACTGCCTAACTCTCCAACCCTGTCATAATCTGCATGTTCTCTATTCTCCCTCCATGTTTCAGCCATGCTGGCTTCTTAAAGTTCTCGGAATGCATCACTCTTTCTCTGTTCACAGCCTGTGCAAAACTTACTCTCCACACATAGAATCTCTTGCCTCTCTCTACTGAACTCTGCTGTTCTTTAAATTAATGCCTTTCTTTCAGCAAAATCATTTCATACAATTTAAGTCTAAATTAGGCCCCTACTATTTTTCTGTTGAAGGACTCTGTTTCTTTTTTTCAAAGCAGTTATCATGATTTAATGTTAAAAATTCATTTGTGTATTTGCTATTTTCAGCCTAGCTCAGGAAGGGCAGTTACGTGGTTGCTTGGTCATCACTGTTTCTCAGCTTTTTGTTTATCAGCTTTTCGGGACAAGTCTTCACTGTGTAACCCAGGCTGCCAATGATGCTCATTGATCTCGTGATCTTCCTGTTTCTGAGTGCTGGGATTACAGGTGTGAACCACCATACCTGGCAGTAACGTTTATGAATGAGTGTATGCCACATGAAAAAGAGATAGCTTGAAGAGTGACATAGTTTCAGGAATAAGGCTTAATGGAGCAGGGGTCCTATGTGAAAACAGAAAGCCCTGAATACTTACTGTAGGAAAGAGAAAGTTCCAAATTCTGACTTTCAGACTTGGAGTTATGATGTGGCAATTTTAAAGCCTTTATATTCACTTATAACCATATTTATTGTGTTAGTAGAAGAAGCTTTTCAAATTATGTTTAATTATAATGTCTGAGCATTACTAGTCTTGTTTTTAATTTGACAAATTATATTAAATTAACTATAATTATGTCTCATCACAGAACTAATAATAACTCATTTGTCAAGTGCTAGCTATGTGTCAGGTACCTTATATGTATCATCTCATTTTATTTTTACAACCGCCATATGAAGGTGGTGGTGCTATCCCATTTTTCAGATGAGAACACTGAGGCTCGGAGAAGTTAACTGTCCTATGGTCATATAGCCAGCATACCTTGGAGCTGGATTAAAACCAGATGTGTCAGATACTTTCTACTACCACAGTGCTGTCTTTGTGGTGAGTCATGTCAATACACATTCAAAAATATATGAAATATATTTGGTATAGATTTATTATTTCTATTGTGTTGGGCAATTAGGAAATAATTAAATAAAAATTTAAAGCTGAGATTTAAAATTTTTTAATTATAAATCAGGCAGTATATGTTCTTTAGCTGTTTTTCCAAATGAAACATTAAAAATAGTGAAATATTTTTTGACATAAGTACAGGCATAAAGACCAGTATTTAAGAAACCTGTGTTCTCACCACTGTGTATACATTGGTTTTTGTTTTTTTAATCATTTCCTTGCAGTTTGTTTCCTTGCAGTAATCTGGTGGCTGAGTGCTGGGTGGATGTGTGGGTCAGTGGCAATGTTATTTTTTTCCTGAAGAAACTTCCCTTACTTGTTTGCTATTTTGCCACTCTTCTTGGGGGAGCCTAGGTTCGTATCAGGTTTGAGTCATGACATTTTGAGTTCTCCCCATTATATAATATGGGAGAATAATGCAAGTGTTCTGGGCTTCACAGTCATGGTGCCAAGGATCAGTTCCACAGCTTGGCTTTCTTTCCCAGGATCTGAAGTTGCACTGTAGTGAAATAGACTTGACCACATCCCAACTGACACTTTTTATGGTGAGTGGATTAGACCCAAATCCTGGTCAAGTGTCAGATGGATGAGCACATTCTTTGTTTCTAACATTTCCTAGATTTCAAAAGTTAAGAATAGCATTGTTAATTTACAGTCCATGCATACAATTGCCGTGTGAAAGGTTCCTGTCAGAGTACAGTTTGGACTTGGTCACATGAGAGTCTCTCCTTCACCACTCCCCTCCCCAATCTAAGGAAAAGGAATTGAAGTTGGCTTCTTCATTAAGACAGAAAGAAAAAAACAAAAGCCAAATAACACCAGTGAGTTGCTAATAAAGATGCATCTCCAGAAATGAAGTGTTACTGGTATCATATAACTGCTTTATAGGAAAAAAATAAGAATGAGACTTTTAGGGAAAGATAGAAATAAGGGAAATAGGTAATGTGTGAAGAGCCAGCATTGTGGGTGTAATGCAAATCAAGGATTGGGGCTAGTGAAAAAACTATGCTTGAGATTAAGTGCCTATTATACAAAAATGGTTTTGAAGAGAATAGTGGATGACTAGAACATCAAAAACTGGTTCTCATATTTGGAACATAGTGAGTACTCATTTTAAGTAACTGGTGATTAACTGATACAATCTCCTGTTGTTAACAGGTGTTGGTGAGGATGTGGGGAAAAAGGAACCCTTATACCCTGCCGGTGGGAATGCAAACTAGTATAACCACTCTGGAAAAAAATTTGGAGGCTTCTTAAAAATCTAAACATAGACCTGCCATATGATCCAGAATACCACTTTTGGGGATATACCCAAAGGAAGGAAACACAGGTTACTCCAGAGGTGCTTGCACAACCATGTTTATTGCAGCACTATTCACAATAGCCAAGTTAGGGAAAACAGCCAAGATGCCCCACACTGATGAGTGGATTAAGAAAATGTGGTATTTATATACAATGGAATTTTACGCAGCCATGAAGAAGAACGAAATGTTATCATTCACAAGTAAATGGATGGAACTGGAGAACATCATCCTGAGCGAGGTTAGCCAGGCCCAGAAGACCAAAACTCATCTGTTCTCCCTCCTATGTGGACATTAGATCAAGGGCAAACACAACAAGGGGATTGGACTTTGATCACATGATAAGGCGAGTGCACACAAGGGAGGTATGAAGATAGGTAGGTAACCCAAAAACACAAGATAGCATTTGATGTCCTCAATGCAAAGGAACTAATGCAGAAACTTTAAAGCAACAGAGGCCAATAGGAGAAAGGGACTAGGAACTAGAGAAAAGTTTAGTTTGACAAGAATCAATATAGAATGTAACACATATGTACATGGAAGCGATGCTAGGAATCTCCCTGTATAGCTATCCTTACCTCAACTAGCAAAAACCCTTGGTCCTCCTTATTAATGTTTATACTCTCTCTTCAATAAAATTAGAGATAAAGGCAAAACAGTTTCTGCCTGGAAGCGAGGGGGTGGGGGGGGAGAGGGAGGGGGCGTGGGGAAAGGGAGGGGTTGAGGGGAAGGGGGGAGTAATGACCCAAACATGGTATTCACGTATGAATAAAAGAAATTATATATAGATTTATATATCTATATATAAAATGTGAAACAATAAAAAAACCCCAAAAAATCTGTTGCTGATGTACACAATAGCTTTTTGTGTATGAGGATACATTGTAACTTATCTAAGTATTATTTTATTAAAAATTTCTTTTTAAAGGTAATCCAGATTATTACATTTTTGTCATTTTAAAAGCAGTTCTTCTGTTACACAAGAATGATTTGAAAAATATAAGATGTTTGATAAAGTTCAAGTGACTGAACGTTGTGCACAAATTCTTCATGTCTTTCATAAAACTAATTTTGTTGATTTTTCTATAAAAAGTGCAACTCCCAAACATTCTTGTGATAGCCCTTTTGTGAATGTGTCACTGTTCTTGATTTGCACACGCCTTATAATTTAGGCTTTCTTTTGTTTGGGGTTGGCAGTTCCAACTGTTAGAGCTCTTGTCTGATTCTGTGGAACTCCATTTTAATGGGAGCAGCTTCTTTGCTGCATTTTTTAAAAAATGGTCTCGGAAGCTTCTTACTGTGGATCTTTGTTGGGGACAAAGGATTATTTATGCTAAAGGAAAATGTATTCCCCACTGAATTAGCTCGTGGGAAGCATAACAAGCTCATTAGTAATGCTCACTTGTACTTTGGCCTTTTGCTGTGGTAGAGAGAGGGAAAAATGACATCAAAAGGACATTCTGTTGTCTTTTGCCTTCCTGTAAAGAAAATAGGATGTAACATGAGGCTCTTTGGTTAGGCTTAGCTCAGGTTCAACTTTGGTATGAGAAGAAATGCTCCTGAAAGTGGTATGTATTGTACAGTTGGCACTCTGCCTGGGTTGCGACTGGTATGGCATAGAGGAGAAAATAACTTTTCCTTGGAAATTGATAGCATTTTAGCCTTGTAAATGGTTTTTGATATATTTTCTTAGGATGTTTTAGTGGCAGTTTCCAATAAAAAATAGACTAGCTCATTGTGTTGCAGTAAGAAATCAATAATTTATGTTTTATATAGTCTATATTAGTTAATATTTTAAGCTGTTCACTTATTTCTCCCCTGCCCTGAAAATACATTAGAGAATTGTTTTAACCTAATTTAATTTATTACAGTTTTTCTTCCTTTGTGGATTTCATGAATGGTGCTTTGGAGCTAAAATTGCTATTTCTTTTGATTTTCATCTTTGAAAATTTATTACAGGGAAGCATTAGGTATTTTTGCTTCACATTTAAAATTAATAGTTGTCTTTACTAACCTTGTTTTCTAGCAGAAAAAGCTTATGAATTTATATAAACCCACTAAGACCCTAAATGGTTTCTATGAAGATGAGATGAAAATGCTCAAGTTTCAATCTTCATTTTGTGATATTTATTTCTACATTACGTTTACAGGGGAAAATAAAATTCTGGAAGAATTTCATGTAAACCAAGTCTTACTGTTAATTCTATTTTACTGGCCAGATGCTTCAGGAGTTACTTTGATGCTAATGCCAGAAATAACATATTAAAATATGCTTCAGGTTTCTCTCCTTCAAGTGAGAAGTTTCCTTAGGAAGTAAAAAAGCAAGGAGCCATTATTTCAACTATTTCAACTGGAAGAGAATGTTTTAGGTTTTCAGTCAGAGGAGAGAAAAGGACATTACTAAATCTTGAAATGTGAGAGTTTTGGGTGTAGGAAAGCTACCACTGTCTGCATGTTAATATTTTCTTCTGTTTTTAGAATAGCAGTTTCATTTCAGTATAGATGACCATGCAGCCTGCAATTCAAGTAAGTGTTTTTCTTGGACTATATATGTATTCTTATAGTTATATAAATGAATTAATATAATAAGATACTACAACTATCACAAAATGTTTTTATTGCATTAGTTCTTTTCAACATTACATTTTAATAACAGGAATACTGTATTTTGACTTTCTAGTCCTGAAAATATTTTAATTCTTAGCTTTTATTTGTACTGAACATTTAAAGCATCAAAAATATCTTGGAGTTGGTGGGTCCACCTTGTTGATACCATTTTGAGAAAAGAAGTGGAATATTTTATAGTTTTCTACTCATTACAATTTATATATATTTATAGTTAAAAGAGCTTTCAGCAAAAACAAATATAAATTTTTAGTTTAGTTAATTTCACATGTGCTCTGTAAATGTTGTTCATGACTAGGTGTTAAAATTTGAAATTTTAGAGTAGATATTTTTGTTTTTGGGGGGGTGAGGTGAGCTGGGGGTAATGAGACAAACCAGAATAATCTCATGTTTGAATGATTTCCACATGTGGTGTTTGCTGTATTATTTTTCTTTCCTGGTTTCTTTTCCTTTGACATCAATAGAACATGACTGAATCTTAAAGGAATAAGTTGCATCGAATATCTCTCTCTAGGAAGATGCAATCAGCTGGCAGTGAGATGCACTTCAGGGTCAGTCAGATTTCAGTTCTGATCCTAGTTCTGCTACTTCCACTGAGATTCTGGCAAGCTATTTTATCTAGAGTTTTTGCTTCCCTACCTGTAAGGTGAAGATAATAGTCCTTATGTTGAGGAATCAATGAGATAAGACATGCAGAGAGCCTACTAGAATATATACTGCCTAGTGGGCACTTCAGAAGTTTGGTTGTACTAACTACACACCAAAATTATCCAGCTATAAAACTGGAGATGGTACCTTTGTCATGAAGCCAGCCTTCTTCCCACCCTTCCTCCCTCCTTTTATTCTTACCAAGATAACAGACAGTCTAGAGAATTATTTATCAAATGGTCAAGAACACCCACAGGTGTGGTCCTGCTTGAACACCTTCCTATGTTGTGTAGCTATCCCCGCTGCTCTACTAATAAACAGTTTGTTATACTGTTTTTCTTCTGGGACTTGAATGTCCATGACAGACTTCCCAGAAGTCTTCCTGTTGTTTAGCATGTGTGAGGCCCTATGTTCAAGCCCCAGTACCACCAAAAAAAAAAGATCGTCTTCTTCCCATCTGTGTCTTTTCACATACACTTTCAGTATACTTAGAACTCATTTATTACACAAAACCATTTTTGAGCAGATAACTTCTATCCTCTCTTTATTCCAGCTTCAGAAATGTCATTAGTTTCTTATTGATTTATATATATATACATATATATATGTATATATGTATATATATATACACATACATATATATATATACGCACATATACACATACATATATATATATACACACACACACATATATATATATATATATTATTTTTTTTTTTTGTGGTACTGGGGTTTGAACTCAGGGCCTTGAACTTGTTAGGCAGGCACTGTATCAATTGAGCCATGCCTCCAGCCCATTTTACTTTAGTTTTATTTGGTATTGGTGTCTTACATTTATACCTGGACTAGCTTGGATGGTAAGCGTCCTATTGACACTTCCTGTGTAGCTGAGATGACAGGCATGCACTACCACATCCAGTTTGAGATGGGGTCTCATAAACTTTTTTCACCTGAGCTGACCTCAAACCAAGTCCTCCCCTCTCCACCTCCTGAGTAACTAGGATCACAAGTGTGAGTCACTGTCTCCAGCTCAGTTATATTTTTCCTTATATAGTTCTTTTGTCATTGCTACATTGTCTGTGTGTTTCTCATTTCCACACTAAAGGCCATTAATATTTTCTTAATGTGATGATATTTTTCATAGTTTTGCCTTATGGTTCCATGAAATTTCCTCTAATCTGGTATACCTTCATTGATTCCTCTCCAAGACTATCCTTGACATCTCTCACAGAGGTTTTTCCTTCTTTCCCTGCTTAATGTGAGAACTTTCTAGTATTTTCACCTCTTTGTCAACTCAATTGGACAGTTGCTTAGTTATTTATAAGTGCCTTGGAGAGAAGAGACATCTAGTAAATAGCTGTTATCAATTGATACTTTGTTTATTTAATACATTGAGATTTTCCATGCACTCTTTCTGTGTCTTTCATTCTGACTAATAAAGACACATATAGTCCAAAAGTGAATGACAGATAGTTCTTAACTTCTTTTGGGTCATAGTCCTCTTTGAGAATCTGAGAAATAGCCTGTTTATACAGAGGCATACAATTTAAGCTAAGTGTGATCAACTTTATGAACCTAAGTTCCTTTGTGGACTGTGGATTAAGAATCTTTGCAATTTGACAGCTTTCAGTATGTTTGAGGACAACCTTTATGTGTGTAGTTTTTCTTACTAACATCTAATGTTTTATTTGTGTATATTAATTGTACAAAGGGGTTTCATTGTGATACTTACAGAGGTGCATACAGTGTACTTTCACTTCTATTATTTTTTCTTATCCCCCTTTTAAAACAATTTCAATGGGTTTCATTATTCTATTCTCATCCATGTGTAAAGTGTTTAAGCATCTAACTTTTAATATTAATATACTACTGACTAGCCATGGCTACAGAGTATTCTGCTTAATGATAGGAGAACTCAACATGTCCTTTTTTTTTCTTTAACGTGGCATTAAGGAAGAGTGACTTCTGTTAATGTTAACTTCTCCATTTTCAAATATAATTTTCAAAAAACTACCTCCTAACTCATGCTCATCTTTCCTTGCCAAACACTTGGCACCTGCTCTGCCTGTTTTCTGCACAGTCAAATGGTTAAAAGCCAAATAACATATTTTGTTGATTTAAAAATATTAATTATTAGATACACCATGATTTTGATGATAGAGTTGTTTGCTAATATCTGTTCCTTAATTATTCAGCACATATTTTTGACTAAATACTATGTGCTGTCATGCTGAGTTCTAGGGTTACAAACAGAAATAAGACACGCTTATAAAGGGAAGAATTAGAGAGTAAGTCTTTGTTATGCCCTCTTCGAAATAATTTTGAGAAATAAATACCATCTTACCTTTTCCCTAACACTATACAGTATTGTCATATATTTAGGAGTTTATTCCCTAATCTCTTTGCATGATTCTTGAAATAATATCCCTCAAACAACTTATGTTTCATTTTGTCTTTGGGTATTTTTACTGAGTTTCATTACTCTTGCAAATCACTTGTGTTTATTCATTTTATCTCTTTGCCTTTGGGATTTCTTTCTTAAACATGTTTCTTTCTCACCACAGAAGATTAGAAGCAGGTTTTAATTAGTTTTTTCTTCAAAGTTTGTCTGCATTACATATAGTTTTGCTTCGGCTTTTGACTTGGGATAGTAAGACATGTTCAAATGAACCTGAATAAATTTAATATATTTTTTGGGGAAAATGTTCTATATTTAAAAATCAGAAGAGGACTATATTCACTGTGCTTTTTAAAACAACAACTTAAAACAGTCACCAACCTAAACAGTAGTTTCAGGTATGTCACAGCCATCTAAGAGTAAATAGCCAATCTAATGCTAAGTACCTGCAAATACTTTAATGTGTTTTTCTCAAAAACAAGGACATCTTCCTATACCACCACAATGAAATGACCAGAATTGGAATTTTAACATTGGCACAGTACTGCCATTTAATACCCAGGTCATGTTCCAGAGCTGTCCGTTGTCTCTGTCATATCCAGTTCAGAGCCGTGTGTTGGCTCTGGTTGCCATCTCTCTTTTTGAGTCTTTGTCAGGCTCAAACAGTCTGTTATTAATGACCTTGGCACTTTTGAATATTACCAGTTATTTTGTAGGATATCCTTCAATTTTGATTCATCTGATGTTTTCTCACGATTGGTTTAGGTTATGGACATCCTGAATGGAAATATCTCAGAAGGAAAAGGTTTTTTCCTCTTTGCGTCCTGTCAGGTGGCATATGACCTGATGGTGTTCATCTCTATTACTTGGTTGTGATGCTATCAGAAAAGAAAAGATTAGAAAACAAAAAGATGACTCTTTTTCCCTTTGTAAGAAGTGTTTTGTGTGCAAGTACTCTTAACCATATAAGCATCTCATTTTCTGTCAAAATTCATTTGTTTATTTCTTCCTGTGTGGACAAATTTTTTATCTATTTAATGTGATATAATCAATTGTTACTATTATTTAAATTACCCTCAATATAGCCAATAGAGGTCTTTAGTTTAATTTCTGTGTCCTTTCGATATGTCCCCCTCATTCTTTGAGTGTTTATCCTCATTCCCCATTTGTCCCTTTCTTCCTTGGCAATGAGAAAACTGGCTCCCACTTGCTAACTCTCCATGCATGTAACCAATCACTGCAACCTTCTCCCTGGTAGATCCTTAGCTCACATGGAACCGCATAGCATCCCTGAGTTGCTCCTGCTTTGTTCCCATGGATGTCCTCCTTATACTGCTCAAGGTCTGACACCTGGTGCAAGCCTGTCTCCACGTGTGGATGTTCTTTCACTTCACTCAAACTGTCTTCAACCACCCTGCTTTGAGAACCTCCTGCTCACTTCACTTGGTCTCTAATACCCCTTCCTGAGTTGCTAAGGAAGGAGAAAGACAGGGCTATTTGTACAGTATTGTGTATTGAAAACATTTCACGTATCTACACTGATAGTTTGCTTCTAATTTGTGTCTTCATGAGATGAAGTTTTGTGCACATGTGTATTATATATGATTTATATTTCATCTTTTACATATGGATGTGGATTATGGTGACTTTTGGCAAAAGTTGTACTCCTTCAGTTGCCTGGTGCTCTCTCTAGGTTTGGTTTGGGGAAGATCTGCCTCTAAGCCCACGGAGTCCTCTGACACCCAGACACGGACCAGGACTGGCTGATGTTTGTCAGTATGATGAGTGGATAGCTGTGAGGCATAAGGCCACTTTGCTGCCCATGCAAGAAGATCTGTCTATTTGGTTATCTGGCTTATTAGGTAAGGCTTGGAAAGATACCCTCATTTGTATTCTACTATTCAACAAGTATTTATTGAGAGCCTTACTTTTTATTAAGGAGTGATTGTTCTAGGTGCTGGGGAAATGCTAGTGAATGAAGCTTTCAAGGTCCTTGTCGGATTCACCCTGAACCTTGGGTCTTAAATTGTAGGAAATTTGAGAGTTAACTGCAGTGGTCAGTGAAATACATTAACATTGTTAATATTACTATTAATATTAAGATCATTGTCAATATTAAAATCTTTTAAAAAAAGTATGGGTCTCATTTCTTTTTTGTTTCTTACTGATTCCCTCCTCCACCATCTTGTCTAAGCTATGGCATTCTGAGTGGAATATTTACTGTAGACTAAGTGGTACTGTTTCTGAGAGAGATACTGAGAGGTAGAGGCCTGTGACACCTAGAAACACATGTCAGGCTGGAGGAAGCCTGGCGTCATATTTTTTACTCTGTTAGAGACAAGGATGATGCTCTGAACTTCCTCCTCAGAAAAAATTCACTTTGACAGAAATTTCTTTGCAGCGCTCCAAGTTTTCATGAAAAGAAACAGCCGCTTTAGTTTTGTCTGACAGCAGGCCAACGATCTAGACATTTAAAAGTTTATTATGTAATCATAATGCTTTTAAAGAAGGCTTCTTCAAGTGAAAAGTTGGCATTCTCAGGCTATTTGTTCTGGTAATGAATTTAATTTTTAAACAACAAAATCTACCTTGTTTACCAAGAATCTTTGTTATGCAAGCAAAATTAATATGTGACAAATTTATTTTATTTAAAAATTTAAATGACATTTTTAAAATGTCAGTTTTCTTTATTCTGTGCTTTCACATCACAGATGTTTTTGTTTTGCCTTTCATTTAACTTGACTTTGTTTTATTTATTTTTTATTTATTTATTTATTTATTTATTTATTTCATTTTTCTTTTATTATTCATATGTGCATACAAGGCTTGGTTTGTTTCTCCCCCCTGCCCCCAACCCCTCCCTTACCACCCACTCCACCCCTCCCGCTCCCCCCTCAATACCCAGCAGAAACTATTTTGCCCTTATCTCTAATTTTGTTGTAGAGAGAGTATAAGCAATAATAGGAAGGAACAAGGGGTTTTGCTGGTTGAGATAAGGATAGCTATACAGGGAGTTGACTCACATTGATTTCCTGTGCGTGGGTGTTACCTTCTAGGTTAATTCTTTTTGATCTAACCTTTTCTCTAGTTCCTGGTCTCCTTTTCCTATTGGCCTCAGTTGCTTTAAGGTATCTGCTTTAGTTTCTCTGCGTTAAGGGCAACAAATGCTAGCTAGTTTTTTAGGTGTCTTACCTATCCTCACCCCTCCCTTGTGTGCTCTCGCTTTTATCATGTGCTCAAGTCCAATCCCCTTGTTGTGTTTGCCCTTGATCTAATGTCCACATATGAGGGAGAACATACGATTTTTGGTCTTTTGGCCAGGCTAACCTCACTCAGAATGATGTTCTCCAATTCCATCCATTTACCAGCGAATGATAACATTTCGTTCTTCTTCATGGCTGCATAAAATTCCATTGTGTATAGATACCACATTTTCTTAATCCATTCGTCAGTGTGGGGCATCTTGGCTGTTTCCATAACTTGGCTATTGTGAATAGTGCCGCAATAAACATGGGTGTGCAGGTGCCTCTGGAGTAACAGTCTTTTGGGTATATCCCCAAGAGTGGTATTGCTGGATCAAATGGTAGATCATGTCTAGCTTTTTAAGTAGCCTCCAAATTTTTTTCCAGAGTGGTTGTACTAGTCTACATTCCCACCAACAGTGTAAGAGGGTTCCTTTTTCCCCGCATCCTCGCCAACACCTGTTGTTGGTGGTGTTGCTGATGATGGCTATTCTAACAGGGTGAGGTGGAATCTTAGTGTGGTTTTAATTTGCATTTCCTTTATTGCTAGAGATGGTGAGCATTTTTTCATGTGTTTTTTGGCCATTTGAATTTCTTCTTTTGAGAAAGTTCTGTTTAGTTCACTTGCCCATTTCTTTATTGGTTCATTAGTTTTGGGAGAATTTAGTTTTTTAAGTTCCCTGTATATTCTGGTTATCAGTCCTTTGTCTGATGTATAGTGGCAAATATTTTCTCCCACTCTGTGGGTGTTCTCTTCAGTTTAGAGACCATTTCTTTTGATGAACAGAAGCTTTTTAGTTTTATGAGGTCCCATTTATCTATGCTATCTCTTAGTTGCTGTGCTGCTGGGGTTTCATTGAGAAAGTTCTTACCTATACCTACTAACTCCAGAGTATTTCCTACTCTTTCTTGTATCAACTTAAGAGTTTGGGGTCTGATATTAAGATCCTTGATCCATTTTGAGTTAATCTTGGTATAGGGTGATATACATGGATCTAGTTTCAGTTTTTTGCAGACTGCTAACCAGTTTTCCCAGCAGTTTTTGTTGAAGAGGCTGCTATTTCTCCATCGTATATTTTTAGCTCCTTTGTCAAAGACAAGTTGCTTATAGTTTGTGTGGCTTCATATCTGGATCCTCTATTCTGTTCCACTGGTCTTCATGTCTGTTTTTGTGCCAGTACATGCTGTTTTTATTGTTATTGCTTGTAATATAGTTTGAAGTCAGGTATCGTGATACCTCGCATTGTTCTTTTGACTGAGTATTGCCTTGACATATT